GCCGTCTCGCTCACCCCCACCCGCCCTCTACCACATAAGTATCACCCGGGTCTCAGCATGGGCAGGGGCCGCCATCGACAACCATCGGGAGCCAATGCAGACGTCAGCCAGGTGCGCGACGTCCGCGAGGTGCGCCTCGCGTGTCAGGGCGCCCCCAGCATCCCTGTCCCTGTCAAAGAGCAAGGTAAAATGATGGCTGGGCGCCCCCACGTGGTCCAAGTTCTTGCCGCATCGCGCGCTTTGCATTTGTTCCCAACCATCATGGGGTTTGGGGTCCTCGTTTTGAAGAGACAGTGCCCCGCGTTCTTTCCTTCCCGCTGCCCCCTTCTGCTCCTCTTCCTCCGCCTCCTCCTCCTCCTCCTCCCTATTTCGTCACACCCTTCACACGTTTCGTGGACCCACAGGGAGCCCCGCCGAAGGCCCCAGTGGCTGCGTTCGCTTGCGCCCACCGCACCCATAGAGAGCTCGACCGAAAACCCAGGTGGCTGGGTTCGCATGCGCCCACCGCGCCCATTGTCACACACCGTTTGCACGCTTCGTGGCCCCATTGGGTGCACCGAAGGCCCAGTGGCAACGTTCGCATGTGCGTGGCCCCACAGGGAACTCAACCGAAAACTCCAGTGGCTGCGTTCGCATGCGCCCACCGCGCCCACTTCGGCAGACCACGCACACGTTTCGTGGCCCCATGGGGAGCTCCACCGAAGGCCCCAGAGGCTGCGTTCGCATGCGCCCACTTCGCAAATTTCGGCACATCCATCGCTCGTGTCCTGGCCCCACGGGGAGTTTCACCGAAGGCCTCAGTGGCAGTGTTTGCATGCGCCCGCCCCGCCTACTTCGGCACACCCCTCAAGCCCGTCCTGGCCCCACGGGGTGCTCCACCGAAGGCCTCAATGGCAGTGTTTGAATGCGCGCGCCCCGCCCATTTCGGCACGCCCCTCACGCGTGTCCTGGCCCCACGGGGAGCTCCACCGAAGGCCTCAGTGGCGGTGTTTGCATGCGCCCGCCCCGCCCATTTCGGCACGCCCCCCACACGCTTCGCGGCCCCATAGGGAGCGCCACCGAAGGCCTCCACGGTGGTTTTCGCACGCGCCCGCCCCGCCGGTTTCGGCTCACCACGTACGCGTTTCGTGGCCCCACAGGGAGCTCCACCGAAGACGAGGCCACTGCACTGCTCACAACCGCACAAGGGTTGGGTCCTCCGCTAGGCTTGACTTTGGGAAGGGGTGGCAGGCCTGCGCACGTGGGGCCAGGCAAGCTGCGAGCTCCACCTCCTGAGGCAAAGTGGTCGCAGGGGGGGCCGCGCATGCTCCAGCAGCGCAGACTGCATGCTGTACCGTTCCTTGTCGGGTGTTGCTAGAAGTGCCCCTGGCCCAGCGTACCCCCCAGAATTTCCAAGGAGGCTTCCACGGCCTCCAGAGCACTCCTCACGAGGCCAAGAGGGCCCTAGAGGCTCCAGAATTCAGCGAAAAGCTGGGGGCACCTTGGGCCAGGGGCACTTCTAGCAACCCCTCAGACAGGGCCGGTGGGGGGATGTCGGCGTTGGCCCTGGTTAGGAGCCGGAGAGTCGGGGGAGGGGGCGCACATCAATGGCCCGGAGTCGGCGAAGGGGGGGTTTTGGAGGAGGGAGGGTCCAGCTCGTCATACCGCGTGTGCTGTGGTGGGACTTTGCACGCTCAGTCGTTTTTGCATCAGTTCAGCATTGAGTTTAGCTCAATCTTTGGCATTTGAACTTGTGCTTTTGTTTCGTCGTCTCGTGTGCGCCTAAACTTCAGCTGCATGTGTAGCATCGGGTCCAGCCGATGCTTTGGCTTTCACCATTTTCTTCAGGCGTACCTTTCAGTGCATGTTTGGGTTTCTGCTTTAGCTCCATCGACACCACGTGCCGCCCCTCATCCCATGGTACTACCCTCGACGCAATTAACTTCAAAAGTGGTTGACACTCACCTTCAATGCCGCCCGCGCCTTCAACGTTGCCCCCTTTCAGCGTCGAAGCAGAGCGAAACGTTTTCTGGGCGTGTGCGACTCGTGAGGTCCATGATGACCTGCACTGGATATTGGGTGCCAACAATTACTTCGCACGCAATGCCACCCAAACCCAGAACATCAGTTAGACAGGTCAACTACGTACCACATGTTTAAGGTTGATGTTGTCAAGGGTTGTACGTCACATTGGGAACGTATGTGCGCAGCTCATTATCCTCAGTACGCTTGACACTATCATCAACATCATCTTGTACCGTGGCTCAAACCAGCAGGCGTCGCGGTTTCTGCCAACCGCGTTTGCATACCCACCTACACTTCACTTTCCCAGCATGTTGCGCCTGGCGCGGATTGCTGGATTCGTCGCAGGCGTCAATGGTCTGCAGACCAGTGATGCGCCAGTGGAGCTTCATGGAGGCCGTGCGATGACCGGCAGCGTATCCGCCCTTGACCCTGAGCTGACCAACATCGCGGGCGAGAAGTTCCACGTCACTACGCCTGGCGAGTTCGTCATGATCGGACTGCCGTCGACCTGCAACCCAGAAGTTCCAGACGCGTGTGATCTGATCTTCAAAGCAAACTTCGACAAGCTGGAGAACGACAGCGATTGCAATGACCTGATGATTCGCAATGTGTCCATCCAGGGAACAAAGCTCGCCAGCGGCGCGAGCGGTGTGACGAGTGTGGAGTTTTCTATCCTCAGCGATGTCGGCAACTCCTCAGACGCTCTGGGATTCCAAATCAACGGCGAGTACAAGACCCCGGAGGAGTTCTCAAGCCAGCTGGCCTATTGCACCGTCTCCCAGGAGAGGGGCTACTTCCAGTGGCCGACCAAGAGGACCTACCGCTTTCGCACCACGACCTACAATGTGGAATGCGGTTTGGACTTTGGGAACCACGAGCTCAAGCTGCACTTCAGCACTGCTTGGCGGGGAACCTCTTTGGACACCGGCTTGCCCGTGTACGCGAACGACATGTCGTTCAGCATCTCGAGCGTGGGAACGGACGCGATCGGTCTCCTGGGCACGGACGACAACTCGGCGGTGACGGTAGCGGTTCCGGGGTGCAACAAGAAGCAGCCCGTGAGTGGGCCTTACCAGGTGAGGCACGGCCCGAAGTTCCCGAAGCGCCACCACTGGCGCTGAGCGATCGGGCCAGGCTCTGCGCCTGCTGCAGCGATCTTCCCAGGTGGCTTGGGGAACTTCTGCCGAGAGACCGAGCATCCGCCCTCCTCCTCCCTCTGCTGCTCTGCCTCGGTTGCGCTTGTTTGCGGTGTTCAGGATTTTCGCATGTGCTTGCGTTGTTCAGAACTGCTTGGACTTGCTCTGTTCATTGGCCACATACGAACACTACCTCGCCACCCCACGATTTCAATGTGGCCTCCTGTTTCTAAGAAAGAGGGCCCCGAATTGGGATTGCGCCAAGTCCACTATCTGCAGCGTTCGACCAGTTGCCTGCGGCAAGCCCTGTCACCGTTCCTGCGCAGCTCGCAGCAAGACGGAGGCAGAGTTTCACACGGGCTGCACTTCAGTGCTTTGGCTGAACCAATGCGGGTGTTAATCCCCCCCGTTGTCCGCAGCTTCGTCGTCGTCGTCCTCCTCCTCCTCCTCGTCCTGCTTTTTCATACTCCTCCACCTCACTTCCTCCCGTCTCCCCCTTGAAGGCCTATTAGAGGCTTTCTGGGCACTTATTTGGGACATCATGGGTGCCACTTTTTTGTTTTGGGTTTTTTGTTTTTTGGTCTTGATGTAAGCTGGTTGAGAGCCCCTTAGGGGGCCCGTTGGGTCTCCTCGGGGCTGTCTTGGGCGCGGTGATCTTCCGAGCTTTCCCGAAGAGGTTGGAGCATCCTCGGGGCGGCAGGGCGTGTGTTTGGGCCGTTTTGGAGCCCACTTGGGTTGTTCTGGAGGGTTCCCGTGCAATCTTGGGAGTCTTTGGGCCCTGTTTGGGCATCCTTGGTTTTTAGAGTATCTTGGGGCCCTACAGAGCTTTCCCGAGGCAGTCTGCAGCCGGCAAGCCTCGTAGCATCTTTGTCGAGTGTTGTCTCGCAGGTCTTTGCCGCTCCGGGCCTCGCTGGATGCCTCTTCTTTGATGTTCTATCCAGGGCCACATGGCTCGAGCTACGTTTGTGGAAGACGATGAATGGAGAGGAGGCGTATCGACAACTAACTTCCAGATGTCTTAAACATGTTTGCAGCATGTTTCTAAAATGCTAGAACATGTTTTAACCATGTTGCCAACATGATTAAAACATGTAGAACCATTAATCCAATGATAGAGCGGTCACAGTGTCCATTGTTATGGCATCCACAAGGCTACGTAAACAGTGTGTGGCGATGTCGTGAAGCGTTCTCGTCTGACCTCGCTCTGCGGCAGAGGCGAGACGAAGACAGGACGAGGGAAAATACGAAGACTCACCGGACAACACTGTTTAGGTCGAGCCCTGCCTGGGCGCGTCCTGGAGCCTCTTGGGGCTCGCCGGGCCGTCTTGGCCTGGTCTTTGGGCACTATAGCAGCCGGTCTTCAGGGGTGGCCTCGAGTCGTTCCCTGGAGCCGTCCAGAGACGGAGAAGGACGCCGGGGAGGAAGATCAGGAGGGGGGTCATTTTTGAAGCGAGGCGCGCCAGCTCACGAGCAGCCTGACACGCCCCGAGGTGACGCGGGCACGGTGGCGGCTGTAGCCTACATCGATCTCGAGGCTACGTTTCACACGCTCGGGGGCTCGTGCTGTAAACTCAGCATTTCGGATCGGGCTGTGGCTTCGGCTTTCTCATGTCTGCTTCAGCCTCGGCCTCAAATGCAAGCACAAGCCACAGGTGCAGTTGCTGCAGTATCGGGCTTGGCCGCTGGCTTTGCTTTCAGCACTTGCCTTCCAGGGGAAGTGTCGGATTCAGCTTCAGCTCTATCGACTCTTCATGCCACCACCCCGCTCTCTGCTGGGCCCGCTTTGGGAGACCTCTGGACGCACATCAGCAGCCTCGGTACAGTTGACACCATTAATGAACATCACCATCATCCCAACTTAGAAGTATTTGACTCAAACCAGCAGGCGTCGCGGTGTCTACCAACCGCACTTGCATACCCACCTACACTTCACTTTCCCAGCATGTTGCGCCTGGCGCGGATTGCTGGATTCGTCGCAGGCGTCAATGGTCTGCAGACCAGTGACGCGCCAGTGGAGCTTCATGGAGGCCGTGCGATGACCGGCAGCGTATCCGCTCTTGACCCTGAGCTGACCAACATCGCGGGTGAGAAGTTCCACGTCACTACGCCTGGCGAGTTCGTCATGATCGGACTGCCGTCGACCTGCAACCCAGAAGTTCCAGACGCGTGTGATCTGATCTTCAAAGCAAACTTTGACAAGCTTGAGAACGACAGCGATTGTAATGACCTGATGATTCGCAATGTGTCCATCCAGGGAACAAAGCTCGCCAGCGGCGCGAGCGGTGTGACGAGTGTGGAGTTTTCTATCCTCAGCGATGTCGGCAACTCCTCAGACGCTCTGGGATTCGAAATCAACGGCGAGTACAAGACCCCGGAGGAGTTCTCAAGCCAGCTGGCCTATTGCACCGTCTCCCAGGAGAGGGGCTACTTCCAGTGGCCGACCAAGAGGACCTACCGCTTTCGCACCACGACCTACAATGTGGAATGCGGTTTGGACTTTGGGAACCACGAGCTCAAGCTGCACTTCAGCACTGCTTGGCGGGGAACCTCTTTGGACACCGGCTTGCCCGTGTACGCGAACGACATGTCGTTCAGCATCTCGAGCGTGGGAACGGACGCGATCGGTCTCCTGGGCACGGACGACAACTCGGCGGTGACGGTAGCGGTTCCGGGGTGCAACAAGAAGCAGCCCGTGAGTGGGCCCTACCAGGTGAGGCACGGCCCGAAGTTCCCGAAGCGCCACCACTGGCGCTGAGCGATCGGGCCAGGCTCTGCGCCTGCTGCAGCGAGCGCCATCTTCCCAGATGGCTTGGAGAGCTCTCGTTGAAGAACCGAGCATCTTCATCCCCTTCGTTTGTTATTATTCTTTGTCGGGTACTCCCCCCTACGTCCCATAAAGACGGGCCTTTGCGATCTGACCAGCATCTTCCACCCTTTCAAACTAAGATTTAGCAAGCCTTCAGACGAAAAGGTGCCACACCTTGATGACAGCCAAACTTGCCGACCTTGTCGTTGAATTTACCTAGAGGTATGATTCACCAAAATAGGCTGGTGCAAGCGCGAAGCGCTAGGAATAACCATGCTGCTCCCTATTTTTTTCTCCTTCTCGCAGCTCCGCCATGCATATGGAAGAGGTCTTGACCTCCAGGGGGCCTTAGAACAAAGGCGACGTCGGATCTGTGGAAGTCCGTGGGGCTTTTGGGTGAGCGCACGGTCTTGGAATTCGGGTCGTCATCGGAAGACTTTTCGTGCGACTGGGGCATCCAAGGTCATACAACGCTGCGGTGACGGACCGTGCTGTGAGCTCGCGTCGCATTTCGAGGTTGCCGCACGGTTTGTCACCGCATTGCTCCGGGACCCCCATGGGAAGTGTCGACAGACGGTCAGTCACCGCTCTGTTCTAAGGTCCCCACTCAAAGGGACATCATTCGGGCGATTGGGCAGGAGGAGGAGGGTGACAGATGAGGACGAAGGATGAGGAGGAGGAGGGCGTGGAGGAGAAGGCGGAAGTGAAGTGTTCACATCTTACTGTAGCCCTAGATTCAGCGGCAACTGGCCCCGCAACGTTACACTTTGGAACACCGCGGGACACAGCAGGAACCAACGGTGGAGCGTATGGCTTCACGGGGTGCAGGGGGGTACCGTTAAAGTAGCTTCAGGTTTGGTTCGCACAGTTCAATTTTCAGCTTTGGCCACGGCTTGATCGTCGCTTGGTTTTGATCCAGCATTGGCTTGAGCGTCCAGCTTCTCTTGTAGTATTCTCTTTCGCTTTTGGCCAGAGCTCCAGTTTTCAGCCCCCCTGGCGTGTAACTCATCGTGCTGGTCTTGTACCTTCGAGCCTCTGTATGGAGCTTATATTTTGCTTTCCCCCGTGGGCTCAGCAGCACCGTGCACCCCAACCGGACATCGACACCGAAGCACGGCACGCCGCCCCACGCCGTGGAGCATCACCACGGAAGTTTGAGCGGCATCGCAATATGACGTTTTTGTTTTGATGTTTGTAGTTTGAGTCTTAGCGTTGCAATCAGCTTCAGCGCTAGGATGCTACTCGATTCGCGAGATGTGTCTCTGGCGTCAGCTTCGAATTTGTTTTCCAGCGCTTCGGTGTACTCGCATCTAGCATGCAAGTGCAGGTTCGTGCTCGGAAGCTTGCGCTTTGGCTCAGCATTTGGCTCAGCTCCGGCTCTGGCTTTCCGATCTCTGCTTTTGCTTTGGTTCTAGCTGCAGGTCTGGGGTCGGGATTCGCCTTCACTCTGGTTTTGGAGCCCTTACCTTTCCTTTCGGCTTACGTTTCGTATTCAGCCTCAGGTCCACTGCTGTGGCACCATGGGGAGGCATCTGGACGCATATCATCATTCTCATTACGCCTGTCGTCTTTGTCCTCATCATTCAATCCACCAGGCGTCGCGGTTTTTGCTAACCGCATTTGCATCCTGTGTGCCCACCTACACTTCACTTCCCAGCATGTTGCGCCTGGCGCGGATTGCTGGATTCGTCGCAGGCGTCAATGGTCTGCAGACCAGTGACGCGCCAGTGGAGCTTCATGGAGGCCGTGCGATGACCGGCAGCGTATCCGCCCTTGACCCTGAGCTGACCAACATCGCGGGCGAGAAGTTCCACGTCACTACGCCTGGCGAGTTCGTCATGATCGGACTGCCGTCGACCTGCAACCCAGAAGTTCCAGACGCGTGTGATCTGATCTTCAAAGCAAACTTTGACAAGCTTGAGAACGACAGCGATTGTAATGACCTGATGATTCGCAATGTGTCCATCCAGGGAACAAAGCTCGCCAGCGGCGCGAGCGGTGTGACGAGTGTGGAGTTTTCTATCCTCAGCGATGTCGGCAACTCCTCAGACGCTCTGGGATTCGAAATCAACGGCGAGTACAAGACCCCGGAGGAGTTCTCAAGCCAGCTGGCCTATTGCACCGTCTCCCAGGAGAGGGGCTACTTCCAGTGGCCGACCAAGAGGACCTACCGCTTTCGCACCACGACCTACAATGTGGAATGCGGTTTGGACTTTGGGAACCACGAGCTCAAGCTGCACTTCAGCACTGCTTGGCGGGGAACCTCTTTGGACACCGGCTTGCCCGTGTACGCGAACGACATGTCGTTCAGCATCTCGAGCGTGGGAACGGACGCGATCGGTCTCCTGGGCACGGACGACAACTCGGCGGTGACGGTAGCGGTTCCGGGGTGCAACAAGAAGCAGCCCGTGAGTGGGCCCTACCAGGTGAGGCACGGCCCGAAGTTCCCGAAGCGCCACCACTGGCGCTGAGCGATCGGGCCAGGCTCTGCGCCTGGTGCAGCGAGCGCAGTGTTCTGAGGTGGCGTGAAGGACTTGTGTTGCAGAGCCGAACAGCCTGATCCCTTCTGCTCTCCCTGCTGCCGCTCCTGCTCCTGCTCTTTCTCCTGCGACGCTACTTCAGATGTAACTGATCCTCTTCTCTCTTCTCCTCCCCCTTCACCCCCTCCATTCCCTCCCGTCCTCGTCCTCCTCCCTCCAACTCTTCCTCCAGCCCTCCCCGTCCCCGTTATTTTTCTCTTCCTGCTTCCCTCCGAGTCTTGTGCGTGTTCAGTCCAGATGGGAGGCGCAAGGCCACGTCTTCTTCTCATTCGTCGTCGTTGTCATCGTTGTCGTCGTCGTCGTCATCCCCCTCCTCCTCCGCCTGCTCCACCTCCCCAGGGTTGCGTCCTGGCCAGACTTGCGATCCTCGATCCTCCCTCCCTCCCTCCTTGGTTCTACCGTTACATGCGCGCGGTAGTTTCAGTAGGATTTGTATTGGGGTCGGGCTACGGTAGGAACGGGGTACTTTTTTAATCTTTTTCTGCGCACGGAACGGACATGTTTGCTATTTGCATGATGTTTGAATTGTATTATGTGTGATGTAGTTGAATGGTGCTGCATGTCTGTTGTCCTTGTAGTTATAGTGTACTTGTATTGTAATGCAAGTGTTTTGCAGTTGTATTTGTATTGTTCTTGTCTTGTGTTGACTTTGTATTGTATGTGTATCGCATTGCATTTGTATTTTAGCGCTATAATTCCAAACTCGATCCCGAACCCGAGCCCAAGAACCCTTTACCCTTCACGCTTGACTTTTGACTGCGCACAGGTAACGGTCAACCCGACTAGTACGACTACTACTACTACTACTACTACTCCTCCTCCTACTACTACTACTACTATTACTACTACTACTACTACTACTACTACTACTACTACTACTGCTACGACTACTACTACTACTACTACTGCTACTACTACTACTACTACTTCTGCTACTAGTACTACTACTATTACTACTACTATTCCCTGTACTGTGACTACTACTGCTTCTACGACCGCTACTCAGACTCATGCTGCCACTGCTGCTGCTACTCCTACTACTACTGATACTGCTACCACTACTACTAACCTACTCTGACGACGACGACTTCTACTGCTACCGCTACTACGTTCAATATTAAGTCTACCATTACTCTCACTAGTGCTCGCACAAGTATTAGTAGAGTAACAGCTCTAATCCTAGTATTTGTACTAGTACTAGCTAGTAGTAGGAGTCGTAGTAGTAGCAGTCGTAGTAATCGTAGTAGTCGTAGTCGTAGTAGTAGTTGTAAACGTAGTAATCTTATTAATATTTCAGTAGTAGTAGTAGTAGTCGTCGTCGTAGTAGTAGTAGTAGTAGTAGTAGAAGTAGTAGTAGAAGTAGAAGTAGAAGTAGTAGTAGCAACAGTAGTAGTACTACTACTATTGCCACTCCTATTACAACTAGTACTACTACCACCACCACCACCACCACCACTACTACTACTACTACTACTACTACTTCTTATCATTACTATTATTGTATTTGTGTGCTGCCATTATTTTGTTTGTTTTGCAGTGTTGTTATTCTTATCACTACTTCAACTGCTACTACTACTACTACTACTACTACTACTCCTATTACTACTACTACTACTACTACTACTACTACTGTTGCTTCTGCTACTGCTACTTACTACTTACTACTTGCTACTACTACTACTATTACTCTTAATACGTTTGTTCCATTTTTGCTACCACTTCTGCCACTGCTTGTGCCATTCGTGCCGCTATATTCAGTACGGGTAACAGTGCTTCTGCGATTACTACTTAAGCTACTATTGCTGCTTCTACTATTATTTCCGCTTCTGCTTCGACTTCGACTTTTACTGATACCAGCTGTCGTCGCCGCCAGTCGTCGTCGTCGTCGCCGCCAGTCGTTGTTGTTCGCCGCTGGTCGTCGTCGTCGTCGTCGTCGTCGTCGTCGTCGTTGTCGCCGCCGCTGGTTGTCGCCGTCCTCGACGCCGTCCTGGCCTGTCGTTGTCGTCGCCGCTTGTGGTGGTAGCTTCGTCGTCGTCGTCGTTGTTGTCGCCGTCGTCGTCGTCGTCGCAATGGACTTTGCCAGTACCGCCGCTACCGCAAGCATTCTTACTGCCATCGCTATTGTTATTAACATGCCCGTGCCCACCACGTTACCATTACCCCGCTTCGGCGGCCGATCCCCCCCCGCAAATGACGTTACGGGAGAGGAGTACAGAAACGCTCACTACTTCTTCTTCGCCCCTACCTCCTTAGTCCCCTCTCCTCCGTTTTTTCACTCTTGCTCTTTCTTGCCCTCTTTCGCTCCCCACTCCCCACTCCTCGCTGCCCACTCCCCCCTCGCCCTCGCCACTCCTTCTCCCTCGTCCTCCCCCCTTCCTCCTCGCTCCTCCCCCCTTCCTCCCCCCTTCCCTCCCCGCTCGTCGCTCTCCCCCGCCTCCTATTTTTTCGCCCCTGCTCCCGGCCCTCCTCCTTGCGACTCTCGGGGGCTCCCAAAAGGAGTGTAGCGACCACGCCGTGCAGTGAGCCAGTGGGAGTTCGGAGTCACCGTGCGGTTTTGGCACTCGTGTCGTTCTCCGAGGAGGTCTCGGGCGACCAGGACCTCAAGGGTCCCAGGATCGTGCGGTGACGGACCGCGCGGTGAGGTCGTCGGGATTCCGAGGTCAGCACGCGGTCCGTCACCACACGGTCCTGGGTTCCCCAAGACCCCTCCTCGCCCTCCTCGTCCGCCCTTTCGTGCTACGCAACCTTCGAGTGTCCCGCCCGTCCAGCGCACCTGCCCGTTTTACTTGTCCCCCCCGCCCGACCCAGCCGCCAGATTTCATGTTTTGCCCGCGTCGTCGTCGTCGTCGTCTTCGTCGTCGTCTTCGTCGTCGTCGTCGTCGTTCTTGCATTCGTGGTCGTCGTCGTCGTTGTCGTCGTCGTCGTCGTCGTCGTCGTCGTCGGCCGTCGTCGGCCGGCGCGCGCGCCCGCGCGCCTCGGCTCCTCCAGCCCGCCGCGCGCGGCCACCTGGCGCTTGCTCGCGCGATCTTGCGGCTCAGCCAGCCCGCGTGTCCGCGAGCCCGGGCCCCGCTGCCGCCGCCGCCTCGTTTGCTCGCCGGAGCCCGCGCCGCGCGCGCGCCGCCCGGTCTGAGCCGCGCGTCGGGCTCAAGGCTCGAGGATGCTGGCCCTCCCAGAGGGGGTCCGAGCAGGCGGGGTCGGAGGATCGCGCCGCATCGCCGATGCATCGGCGATGCGGCTCGATGTGCAGCTCGATTTTCTCCACGCCGGCGTCGCCGACATCGCGCATCGCCGATTTCGACGATGCATTGTCGATGCATCGCGGATGTATCGCCGATGCATCGACGATGCGGCGCGACCCTCCGACCTTATCTTTATCTACTCGGACCCCATCTGGGAGGCCCCTACCTTCGGGGACCGAGAATCGAGGCTCGGGGATCAAGGCTCGAGAATGCTTTTTGGGTTGCTTCGATGTCTGTGCATGGTTGAAATCAGCTTCTCCAGCATTTGGGCTGCATTTGGACCGCCTTTGACTCCTCCTCCTGCTTCTCCTTGCCCTGCCTGTTCCTCCTCCCCTCTCCTCGTTCTTCTCGCCTCCCTTGTGAAGTGGCGAATCCAGATCACATCTGACCCAGATCCTGTCCAAACTCGGCCCACATCGGACAACTCCAGGGGTCAAGACGGCTCCCATGGTTCGGGGCGGACGAAAGGGGAAGATAGGGAAAGGGGGGGTTACGAAATCTGCTGCATGCAGCTGGCTTCGGCCCCACCGAGGGGCCCATTCCTCGATACACCGGCCGCCTCCGGCGCCGGGAGGCGCCAGGAAAATCAGCTACTTGAGCTGTCCCCGCCTTTCGCCCAGCCCGAATGGTGCAGGCAGCAAAGGTCACGTGTCGGAGGGCACCAACTATACACCAACACCGATCCTGGCCCAGGGTGATCCTGGCCAGGATCGGTGTTGGTGTATAGTTGGTGCCCTCCGACACGTGTGGAGGTCTTCCAGCCCCAGGTCGCTTCGTCGAGCGGCGCCCGGGGGTGCCCGCCTCGTCCCAAACGCCCGCCCGAGGCTCGAGCTGTGGGCGGAGGGCTGGCTGGCCCAGGGGCCTCCGTCGTGCCGCCGCAGTTGGAACGCGGCCGCAGGCCTCACGCGGTCAGCTGGCGCAAGCTCTTCGAGCCGTGGACGAGGATGAGGATGATGAGGATGAAGCAGAGGCGGATGAGGATGCGGATGGTTATGATAATGATGTTGAGGATGAGGATGAGGAGGAGGAGGAGGAGGAGGAGGAGGAGGAGGATGAGGACGGTAAGGATGGTGCTGATGATGCTGCTGATGACGATGCTGATAGTGGTGAAGATGCTGATGCTGATGCTGCTGATGACGATGACGATGCTGATGCTGCTGCTGCTGATGATGCTTATTTTGATGATGCTTATGCTGATGATGCTGATGATGCTGATGATGCTGATGCTGATGAGGATGATGGTGATGAGATGATAAGGAGGGTGATGGTGATGGTGATGATGATGCTGATGATGCTGCTGCTGATGATGATGGTGATGATGATGACGATGATGATGATGATGATGCTCATGCTTATACTGATGATGACGATGACGGTGCTGATGCTGCTGCTGATGATGATGATTATTCTGATAATGCTGATGCTGGTGATGATGATGCTGATGCTGATGATGCTGATGCTGCTGATCATGATTTTGATGGTGAGATGACGATGATGATGAGGAGGAGGGCGATGATGCTGATGATGATGCTGATGAGGGTGATGATGATGGTGCTGAGGATGATGACGATTCTGATGATGGTGATGATGCTGATGGTGATGATGATGCTGATGGTGATGATAATCTCGATGATGATGCTGATGATGATGCTGATGATGATGCTGATGATGCTGATGATGCTGATTATGTTGATGCTGCTGATGACGATGGTGTTGATGATGATGCTGCTGATGCTGGTGCTGATGCTGATGATGATCATGATGATGCTGATGATGATGA